TTCTCATGCCTCCTGGTTCCACTGCTGCCGTCTGTCTGCTGGGGCATTCTCTCAGCCAAAGGAGGTCCAGTGCGGGGATCTCAAGTCCAAGGACGCATTCTACTTCACTGCCAGCTCTTCTCTCTTGATGGCAATGAGAGAGAAGAGCCTTGTCCCCAGGGCTGGACAGACTCTTCTGTCTTCAGCTCAAATGGAGCTCTGCAGCTTCCCTTGTTGGTATAACCCTTGCCCACTGCCAGCTTTCCTTCATGAGAGCACTGACTGAGTCTGCTCATTATTGAGGAGACACATGAGCTGAGAGCGGAAGGACAAGTTGGGATTCACTAGTCCAAGGGAGATCAGGGAGAATCGAAAGCATTCCAGGTGGAGAGCAATAGTCTGATGAAGGGAGCATGGGAGCTGGGGAACTGGAAGAGGCAGTGCAGCTGAGGCGGAAGGTACGGGAAGCAGGCCTTGGATGTGAGATGGAGCCGGAGAGGTAGGCGGGGCCAGATGATGCCAAGCCCCGCAGGCCATAGCCAGGGAAGCAAGAACAGCCCTCCAGTTAGAGTGTGGAAACTACACGGACAACTCAGGAGTTGGCCAGGGGAGGGTCTAATACTGCTGTCACTGTGTGCCATCGAGTATATTCTGGCTCATAGTGACACTATCAGACAGCAGGGCTGGGTTCAAATTACTGGTCTTTGGGTTAGCAGCCGAGCACTTCAACCACAGTGCCACCAGGGCCCCTGTGACAGTAATAACAGCCGTGAATAGCCATTACCTCTGTGTACAAATATTGTTGTGTATCATTTATGATTGACTAATACTGATTCCTTCAAGGAAAGAGCTGCAAATTGCCTTTTATTTTGGGCAACTTTATTTTGATATAATTTCAAAAATATAGAAGAATAGCAAGAGTGATAATGACAGTGGTAGCAATAACTGCAGGTATTGATGTTTGTTACGTGCCATCACCACTATATGCATTTTACACCTGCTAACCAGGTCTTCACCACAGCACTGTAAGGTTGGCACCATGACTGTCCCCATCTTATGAGGAGTCAGCTGAGGCTCAGAGCATTGAAATCAACTGCATAGTCACACAGTAGACTATACCGTAAAAGAGATCTGGGTACAGACTGCTTGGCACAGTGCCTGGCTCAAGTAGACGTTAGGTGTTGTTAGCAGTTTTACCGGCTATGGTTATCCTCCCACAGAGAGGATTATATTAGTCTTTGTAGTGAATTAAAAAAATAAACCAAACTCACTGCCATCAAGTTGATTCTGACTCATAGGAACCCCTCGAATTTCCTAGGCAGTATCTCTACAAAAGTAGATTGCCCAGTCTTCCTTCCAAGGAGCGGCTGGTGGGTTTGAACTGCCACCCTTCTGGTTAGCAGTCAAATGCCTTAGACACTACACCACCAGAGATACAACCTTAAATATTCATTGGAGGTCACCTAAAATTTTATAATATAAATGCATAGATTTTATTTTTATTCATAGATGTAACTTCTTTGGTATCGCTTCTGTTTCAAAGAGTCAGTGGATAAGCACACGTTCTTCTCTCATCTGAGATGCCACAGTATATGGTAGAACATTTGGGGCCCCTGGGAACTTAACAGAGCCGGACAGTCCTCCTGCTTGCATTTTACTTTTGTTGCGGGTAAAGTTGAGCCAGTTTACTGGAAAGTCTGTCTGCTGGACATGTCTTCTTTGTTGCCTACAATGCCTGGGCTGGTCCCTCATTGCCCACGAAAGATTGCTGGGGGAATGAGAATGTCCGTCATCATAATAGCAGCTCTGGCAGCCCCAAAATGTGTCCAGATGTTTGATGGACCATCAGGGGACTGTGTTTTGCATTACACGGGAAGAGCAAGCTGTGTTTTTGATTGTAGGAGTGAGGTGCCTTCGTAGGCTTTAGATCAGTCGACTTATTTTCCCTCACAGGAGCTATCCCTGAAAGACTTGGGAAGGATTATGTTTAGGGGTGTAGCTCAGTGGTGGAGCGCATGCTTTGCATGCATGAGGCCCCAGATTCGATCCCCAGTACTTCCATGTTTGGGAGCTCTGGTAGCGTAGTGGCTAAGACACTTGCCTGCTAACCAGACGGCTGGTGGTTCAAACCCACCAGCCACTGCTTGGAAGGAAGGTTGGGCAATCCTACTTCCGTAGTGATACTGCCTCGGAAACCCAAGGAGGGGTCGTTATGAGTCGGGTTTGACTCAACGGCACATAACAACAACAACAACAATAATAACAGGACGGCCATGGTAGACAATACTGAATTCCATATAGGAAATAATGTGGACAACCTGTATGTCGTTGAAATCAGCATATGACCTTAATTTTGCTTTCTTTTTCCAGCTAATCTGTGGCACTGGATCAATGAGGCATGCAGCCGCCTGAGTGGAAATAAGGTAAAGTGAAAAGTTCCCAACGCCTACTCTGTACCTCACAGTCAGGCTGATACAGTGTTACCAGTCAGATAGCGAGCCCCGCTGTTTCAGGGGTACCTTCATGAGGTAATGCAACCTCAGATTCCAGCATTGATCCTTACAGAGTAACCCAAAACCCAAGTCAACCCTCAGCCTAAACACCTCTTCTTCTTCTTGTTTTTTAACCTTCTCTGTATTTTATTCCACTTCCGTCCCCTCTGTGTACATGTTTTCGCTTTCAGTACCAATCCTGATTGTCTAGTACAGATTCCTAGAGGGCAGAGTCCCCACTTTTCCTTTACTCTGTAACCACCACACCACCAGGTCTCCTGTAGTTATTGAGCAATTTTAATACAATTTCAAAATTATAGAAAAAGTCATAGAATGGTGCAGAGCGCTCCTGTGTACCCTTCGTCCTGTTTGGCGGTGACTTACGTGTGGTCACACTGCTTCGTTGTTTGCTGTCTGTGCGTGTCTTCCTGAACCATTGTAGAGCGAGTGGCACGTGTTGTCCTCCTATGCCCTTAAATATATCACCTGTATTTCTTAAGAGCAAGGACATTCTCTTATAGAACCACAGTTGTGTGACAGGACAGAGTAGAACTGCCCCATCTGGTTTCCTATGCATAATCTTTACAGGAACAAATCCTCAGGCATTTCCTCCCTGAGAGCTGCTTGTGGGTTGAACCACCCACCTTTTGGTTAGTAGCCATGGGCTTAAACTTTGTGCCAACACGGCTTCTTTAACCATAGTATATTTATCAATATTTAAAAAAAAAAATTAACAGTTGTACAGAACTATTATCCAATCCACATTTTATAGTAAAATGCCTTTAATTGTCTCACTATGCCCTATAGATCTGTTTTCCTAGACGTGAAATGGTATGAATTTTAAACTACGAGCACATGCTGATTTCTTCAGTCCCAGCCCCACAGGATTGAGTCTAGCTTTCCCTTTCCCATATTCGGATTTCCTTCCTCTACCAGTGTGACACCTGACTCCTGTTCTCACTATATTTACTCATTGGCTCAGTTTTAGAATATATACAAAATAGTTTTAGAATTACTAAATCGTGCCACAGTGAAGTACCTGCAAACTAGAGCTTGATACTAGCTTATATTTCTTTTTGTATTTACACGGAGGGCATGTAGTCACAATACCTTGTCCAGAAGTTACTTGGGGTAGCGCCTCTGCAGGAGAATGCCCTTCATTTGAAGTGCCGTTAGCTTCTTTTGTTTCTGGTGGTATTCCGTCTTAGGCTTCTCCCCTGTCCTTACTGAGTTTATTTTCTTTTACTTTCTATTCCATAATTTTAAATGATACAGATTAAGTGGCCATGGTAAGTGCTAAAAAGGTGGGGAGGCTGCATCTTTTGACCTTCTCTAATCCCAGGAAAGGAAGACAGAATCACCATCAATAGCCCAAGGCCTGTTACTGCAAGGCCAGACATGCTGCCTCCCTCCAGCCTTGCCTCCCAAAGCACCCACCACCCCTCTCCTGGGTCCGAAAATTCACTGCAGTGGCCACACAGAACTCACAGATTACAGGGTTTATTAGAGAAGCACCAGGCTACAATTCAAGTTCAGGAAAAACGCTCAGTCTCTCTCCCAGCCCCAGTCTCTCTCCTAACAGTCTCTCACATCTCTCTCCCAACAGTGTGTGTGTCCCTTGGCGTCTCACTCAGCAATGCGTGTCTCTTGTGTCTCTTGCCCAGCAGCGTCTGTCTCTTTCAGCAGCACATCTTCCTCAACCAGCAGTCGGAGAGAGACCTCTTCTGCCTCTAGGAGGCCTCCTTTTGAGCCTGGCAGAGTGGCCAAACTAACCAATCATAATGTCAGAATTCTAAGCACCTGAGAGAGAGCAGGAACCTCCCAGAACATTGCCCCATGTTGCGCCCAAGAGAAATACCCCAGGTGGATTACTTTTACAATCAGGAGCTCCTCAGTTGCTCACAGCAAATTTCACCACAGAGTTTACAAAGACTTATGGCTAGACAAGCCACACTAAGTAATTTACTACACCGCAGTGAGCTTTCCATCTGTACTGGTTATGGTGAAGGTAATGAATATAAACACCATTTTTTGCAGCGTTTAGCAGAGCCACTCTGACAGCCCTGGGTATTAATACCTCTGCCTTCTGAATTCACATCAGCAGGAGTCCGCAGGCGATGGCTTTATCCGGACTCACGTGGCAGCCTCTAGTCCACGCCAACTTTGTGAAGGTGTCTTACTGCTGACCCTGGAGGAGAAGGTGTTTTCTGAAGACACGTGCTATCCAGATATGGGTGCGTGTGCAGCAGAAGATGCCACAACGCTCTCCTTAGTCAGCGAGGTGGAGGGGAACCCGCTCAGGCAGATGCCTATGGAAGATGAGTATGTGGACAGGCCTGCCCGGACCTCAGACTGTTTACTGGTCCTGACTCAGCCTGGAAGCAAAGCCACACCCCCTTTCCCTGAGCCCCTGGAAGTAGGGGAAAATGACAGCTTAAGCCAGTGCTTCACTGGGACAGAGAGCATGGCAGATTCCGAAAACTGCCACCTGGCCGAGCCCGTGTGCAGGACTGACTGGATTCCCATGTTCTCTGAGAAGTACTTGCAAAGACAGGTGGAGGGTGGCACTTGCCCCCACTGGGCGGCCAGTCCCCACTCAGCAGATGGCTGCACAGGCTGCTGTGACCCTCCTGGGGAGGACCGGGAACCCACCATGGGTACCCCGAAAAGTGGACCCTTGCCTCAGTGTGCCTGTGGCATGGGCCTTCCCCCAGAAGCAGCAGCCGACAAGGCAGAGGGGGGAGGTCAGCCCTGGGATGAGGCTGGCGTGAGCCCTCCAAAGGCTGCTAGGGGAGGCCCTGGCTCTGGAAGCCCCTCCTGCGACCACCCACCTGCCACTGGTAAGTGACTGTCTTAGTCTCTCATTTCTAAGCTCTTCGGAGTTGTGTTTGAGGGCAGGTATCACATTTGGGGATGAGGGAAACTCAGCCAAGCTAAATCAGCCTTACGGTTTCTCTTGATGGGTTTGACTCAGTCCGTGTGTCAAGTCTGTGGATCACGCCCACTGCCGTGTGACTTCATCTACCACTGCAACTGTTTCTGTGTTTATATGTGTCCATACCAGGGTGTGGCCACACTCCTCCTGATAGGATGAGAACTAAAACCCCAGCATTGATCTGTACAAACAAAGTCAACATTGACCTCAGGACTGGCCAAGGCGTTCCCTTAGATTCCTGGTTTTTGGTTTGGGTTTTGTTTTTAAAGTAACCGGGACCCCTTTGATTCCCCCAATGAAGCACTTATAAATTTCAGGAAGACAAAATACCATGGAGCAGCTGGTGGGTTTGAACTGCCAATCTTTTGGTTAGTATCCAAATGCCTTAGCCACTATACCACCAGAGCTCCTTACAAAATTGTTGAGTTAGTCCTTAATTAATTCTTATCCTGATTAGCATGTTGGTTCTATACCAGATTAATGATGCAGTAAAACAGGCCTTTAATGCTTTATATATGAGAAACTCTTTATAACCACTGCATATAATATATTCACAGTACTGAGAAGATAATTTTACAATTTAAAATCATTATAGAGAGTTATTGCTCCAATACTGCTTATACATGAACAACCCACCAGTTATTATATTATAAGTTTTTTTCACTAGAGTGAAATACCATCTGTTTTATTACAAGGTTACAAGGAACTTTGCAGCTGAAAGGTAGGGCTTTGTTTGGCTCAGGATTATTTACCGTTTGGAGGGGTAGCCGTATCTTTGAGGACTTTATGAAAGCTAGAGACGTTCTCACCGGAAAAAATGTATATGTGGATTTGAAATCAAAACTTTTTTCTTACTACTTATGGGGCTTCAGAGAATCCTCTTGTCTTCAAAAAGGAAAAAAAAAAAAAAAAGCCCATTCATGAACCGTTCCTGACTGCCCGAAGGTGCCCGTTCATGGACCACTCCAACTGCCCAGAGGTGTTTTCTTACCAGCCTCTTGTTTCAGTCTGCAAGTGTAGTGCCTTTGAATTATAGTAAAACCTGTGAAAGCTGAGACCTGTGCATGGTGGAAACCTGCCAGAAAAGGAAAACTCAAATATTTTTCACTAAGAGTGATAGCAAAGTGGTAAGACTGTACCCCATGAAAGGCAGAGAACTTGTGGGACCTGATAAAACAAGGTGGTCCTGTTGGGATCCGGCTCCCACAGGTTTCACTGTATTTTTTAACCCAGAGGGGGCTAGCTCGGTGCCTCAGAACAGGACTGTTTCGCCCAACAGTGATGAGAGCTCCTTGGCGTTTCTGATAGAACAGTGGTACTTTCATCTCTTCCCATGCTTTGTGACTTTTCTTCAGCTTCCCAAATTCACTGATGTATAAATTCTATAATATCAGTTCTCAAACTGGAAGGAAAAGGTAGGTTTCCTGGGATATGTTTCAAAGAGCTGATGTGTTTTTCTTCCAGAAGACTTCAGTTTTTTTGTTTTGTTTTGTTTTGTTTTGTTTTTTAAGATTTTAAGGATTCCATGGCTGGTTCTGTTGTTGGTGTCATTGTTCTGTCTGTCTGGTTTTCCTCCACAGGGGGAGAGGAAACACTCACAACATTGATCCTCTGGACTGTGGGGAGCGGGGAGGCTTGCTCTCAGCCCAGGGCAGTGGTTGGTCAGGTCTTGGCAGCACAGCCAAGGACAGGACTAGTGTTTCAGTTGGTGAGACCAAGAAGGTGACACTTGCCACTGTGTGATCTGGGAAGTATTGGCCAAGGTTAAAGAGATTTTTCTTTCTTAGCGTCCTGAAGTGAAACGCCCCTTCTCTTCACTCTCGTGAAGAGCAAGCAGTGGCTCTGCCTGCTTTCCATCATTACCTTTTATTTCTCTAACACTGAACATCTAGACATGGGAGCTCTGGTGGCGTAAGGGCAAAAAAAAAAGGAAAAGCGTGTCATCAGCTAAGTGGTGTTAATTTGTGGAACGTTGACACTGCTTTTTCTGTCTCGTCTGGTGCTTAGCCATGCAAAACATCCACGGAGAGTCTGTCTGAGGACGCCAGCAAGTGGGCCAAATTAATTTTTGCCTAAGGAGAGGCAGCGGCCAGATTGATTTTTGAGGCTGTGTGATTCTCACCACAATTACTTCTCCACGAACAGGCCGTATGACTTCTGGTCAAAATAGAACTTACTCATTATTGCTTTTTTTAAATTGTCATACTTTATGTTCTATAAAGAAGCTCTGGTGGCCTAGTGCCTAAGGCATTTGACTGCTAACCAGAAGGCTGGCAGTTCAAATCCACCAGCCACTCCTTGGAAGGAAGATTGGGTAATCTACTTCCATAGAGAAACGGCCTGGGAAACCGAAGGAGGGATCCCTGTGAGTCGAATCTGACTCAGTGACAGTGAGTTTGTTTTTTCAGTTTGATGGAAAATGTTTGAAAGAGGGTGGAGCTTGGGTTAGAGGGAAGAGAGGCGTCTGATCACAACTGATCCTCTAAATGCCACTGTGCTTGCAGGACTTAAGGGAGATGACCTTCTTTATTGGGTTGTGTTTCTGTTATTATTATTCTTTTATTTTTATTGTGATGTGGGTGAACATTTACAGAGCGAATTGGTTTTCCACTTTACAGTTGATACACATTTGTTTGGTGACCCCCATCGCAGTCCCCACAGTGTACCAGCCCTTCCCACTTCCCCCGTGTTGACATTTCCCTTTGTCCTTCTTTCTGTCCCTTCCTGACTTCTGAGCTTTATCCCTGGACAAATCCCTTTTGGTTGGTTGTTGGTTGATTGTTCTGATGAGTGTTGATCTAATTTGGTTGATTGTTCTAAGTGCATACCTTCCTGCTATTAGGTTCACCTTATAGACCTGTCTATTGTTTGTCTGAAAGTTGAGTCATCGGAGTGGGTTGAGTGCCTGTCTCAAAGGGTGTCTATGGGCCATAGTCCCAGGGGAGGGTTTTGGATTTTTATTTGCAGTTTTTTTTTTTTTTTTAATTAAGTTATGGCCAAAACTTTCTTAGTAGGGAAGAGTATCTCCTTTGGGGCCAGTATCCTTTTGAAGAGAATGCTTGCTCTTCACATAGCTCCACATATGTTGACCATTCTACTGGAAATCATGCCCTTTGTGGTTCAGGCTATTTTATAATGTTGTAACTCCCAAAGAACAGTGAGAATTATTAGTAAAGAGAAATGAAGCGGAAAGGCATACTTTTGGCTATGTCTTAAATAACCGTATTTTCATTCATGTCTTACATGATACCTAACCCTGATGGCATGATTGTGGTTACCTTGGTTACAAGCCCTCTTACCTAGAGTTTGGAGAATTCTCACTGTGCTATCCTAAGAATTATTATTTCATATGAAAGAAAAGACAACTGCTTATAATTAGGGAGTTTGTATTTGGCCAGACTTCATTTCTCATACATCAGTCATGTTGTCAGAAGGGACCAGTCCCTGGAGAAGAATATCATGCTTGGTAAAGTAGAGGGTCAGCAAAACAGGGGAAGACCCTCAGTGAGATGGGTGACACAGTGGCTGCTATGATGGGCTCAAGTATGGCAGTGATTGTGAGGCTGGTGCAGGACTGGGAGGTGTTTCGTTCTGTCAAGGTCACTATGAGTCAAAACCAAGTTGACCATACTAACAACAGCATAGTTGGCCAATGACTTGTTTTGGCTCCCAAAGTCACTCATTTGGTTCAGTTTTTTTTTTTTTTTTTTAATTGTGATGTGGGAGAAAGCCCACAGAGAAAATCCATTTTCCGTATGGCAGTTCGTACACATTTTGCCTCATGGCATTGACTGCAACCCTCACGGTGCAACAGCTTTCCTCCCCCTAGTCACCTCTTCCCTGTGTCCCTCTTTCCCGTGCACTCCTGCCCTCCTCCCCTGCTGTCTCCCGTGTAAACACTGCCCCTCTGCTCTCCCATGATTGATCACTTCAGGTAGTGTATCTACCTGATACATATGTTCATCCCATATGCCTGTCTATTATTTGGCTGGAAGCCACAGGAGTGAGTTCAATTCCAGACCTGAAGGGTGCTAGGGGCCATAGTCTCAGGGGTCTCACCAGGCTTTATCAGACCAGCAAACCTGGTCTTTTTTTTGTTGTTGTTGTTCTTTTTTTTTTTTTTTAGGATTTGGGTGAAGATTTACAGAGTAAATTCACTTTTCATACAGCAGTTCACATATACTTTTTTTTTTTTTTGAGTTTTGTTCCACATTGTTTTCCACTCCATCTAGGATCTCCTGCACCAATCCTCCTCCAAGTGGTTAACACTGGTAGCCAGGCACCATCCATTTCCTCTGAGCTCTTGGTTATATAGGCTGAGGATTGCATGGTCTACCTTGGACTAATTATTTCCATGTGTCTTTGATTTTCTTCATTCTTCTTTGCTCTGGATGAGGAGAGACCCATCTTTGCATCTAGATGGCTACTTACAATGATTCAGCTACTTTTGAACTGGGGAGAGTTGTTTACTGTCTCACAACAATTCTTGATGAATACCAGTGCCCTATTTGTTTTCTATCAAACCTTTATTAGGGGCCCACAAAGCCACAGAGGCTTGGAAACAAGTGGAGTATGATGCCAGGAAATGTACAACACAACAGTAATTAATAATTTGAGAAATCAAGGCCGTCCACAGCTGCCCCTCTCTGTTCTGGGTCTATTATTTCCCTTCACTAGGCACCCACCTAAGTTTTGGGCAAAACCAGCCTCTCAGTGATGACCCTGTCACTTCACTGCTTCTGCTCTTGATGTACTTCTCCTAGTATGAGCTGCCCTCTCTCCCCAGGGTGCCCTTTGGCACATCACCTGGTTCCTCCTGTCCATCAAGCACCAGCACCAGTGCTAGCCCTGAACTAGGAAGGCAAGATGCTCTGTGGACTGCCACTTGGCTCTTCCACACCCATG